TTTTATAAAGAATATCTCTTTGGATTTGAGACTTTAGTCTTTGCAACTTTACAGATCTTCTTTATGCACCAAGAGCTTGTAACACTCCAAAGAGAAAGGAACAACTGAAATCGCATCATGTGACCCCTTTAAGTATAGCCTACTTCAAAGGGCAATAATTTGCATACCAAGTTTCAGATCAAGTTGTTCTTTAGGCTACCAAACCACATACCAAATAAATAAATAATAACACTAATGTAAAACAATAATTGACTAAATAATGTAATATATATAATCGCGTTAAAAAATATTTACATTACAACCATCCACGCCCTAACCTGTTACATGTGCGGCAATACGAGGATCAAACCATTTCGCGGGGGTATATGAACAGAGATAAATTACCATAAAAAAGATCAATATTTTATGCTTAAACTTAAACATTTAGCCTATCATGTTTAGACATATGTTTAAGCACAACAGCCGAGCAGCTCTTGTCTGTTTATACTCTACAACACTTTTTGGTGTATTCCACGAAAATGGTTTATTCCAATATCTCGTGATCACCAGGAAGGAAGCAAACTTTCCAGTCAGTCAATCTTGTAGTGAAAAGACGTTCCTGAGTTTTCCTGTTAACTCTCTGTATTTAAAATGCCTTTACTTTGTGGCGGAACATCTGAGGCGAAAGATGCAAATGAAGAGGTGCAGAAAATATGCGATGAGGTTGGTAATTTTACATTGCCGCTAAACAGAAGTAACGTTAGTGATGTATCATGCAACTATATACTGACAGTTCCCGTTTTTCCTCAGATAAAGTCTCATGCCGAGGATAAAGCTGGGCGCAAGTTTGACGTTTTCACAGCCAGATCTTTTAAAACACAACTTGTTGCGGGGACAAATTACTTCGTTAAGGTACGAGAAAAACCCTGTGATTTTGTAAATGGCCTTATAGGGGTATCCTGTTAATGTACTGAATATGACTGAATTCTGAAATATATGAATGTGTCTGAAAATGTCTGTCAAAGCAATCCACATATATAATACTTAACAGCTATAAAGTTTTTAAAAGCATTGTTCTAAATTATCTGTTTTTAGGTGCATGTAGGTGGGGACGACTACATTCATCTACGTGTCTATAAAACTCTGCCCCATGCTGGAGAAAAACTGGAGCTGCACAGCCTACAGCCATCCAAGGCTCATCATGATCCAATTGAATACTTCTGAAGCAAACTAAGCAAATCATCATAAATACTGCCCACTCATGCAGTTCAATGTTACCATTTTTATACAGTAAATGTTTACATTAACACCTGAAGATGCATGTTAACTCAATCATTACATGTGATGACCTTAAAACTGTATTTTTTGACTAGTGGGATCATGGGTAAACACTACCAATCAAACTCACTGTGAATTAGGTAATCCCTTAAATACATGTTTCCATTATGTGTTTGGCATAGCTGTAAAATAACAGTTCATTTTCTCACCCGCATACTAAAAACATCGCTTAACTCACATCTAGTTACCCATGCCAGAGGTTTGGTCTTCACTTTTTGGGTTTTGTTATTAGTGATACTGATGCAGTAAACAGTTATATTATATTTAACTGCCTGTAATGTACAGTATTCACATTAAATGGATGGATGAACTGTTTTAAATGGTGTTTTTTTCTTTAAGGCATATTTTTACTTGCTATTCAAGTTCTCATAAAAGTGCAGGATTATGTGAGCTGGGTTTTTATCAAAGGTGCTTTAACCCAGGGTTTGTCAGATTGGGGTCTGGGGACCCCCCAGGGGCAGCAATGGAATGCTAGAGGGTGCATGGGAGAGTTTTTGAGAAAAACAGTGTAAAAATAAATAACAAAAATAAGATTTGAATAAATAAAAAATAAAGATGTTATTAAAATAGGTTAAAATAAAATTATATTTGAGAATATATTTATATTTAAGTACATTTTAAGATAACTAATACATCTAAGAGTATGATACTAAAATACTATTTTTTTACAGTATAAATTGGGTCTAAGTTTTAGGATGGTCCTTCACACAAGGATCATCATATTTGGGACTCATGGCATCTAAAAGACTGAAAACCCAAAACTATCTCATGGCAGTTCATAACTATTTTAAGCTTTGGTGAATTAGTGGCTAATTTGTATGAATTTATCATTTGTACGCTTTTGTACGATCTGCTCACACCCCAGTGATGGTTATGTTCAGCGGGTAGGCCTTCATGCATACTTTTGTCTAAAAATCATACGTTCATACAATTCACATCGTACAAATTCATACGAAATCGTAAAATAGTTATGTTTTCCCATGACACCAGGTTGGAAAACTCCGGCTTTAACCTTTGACACTGGTGGCCACGTCAACATCTGAGAACAGATCAATAATCTTAATGTCTCCTCGTTCACTTCAACTGAACATTAATCACTGTATTGCAAAGCAAATAAGAGACAAAGTTTCAGCAATTGGAAAACATTTCATGGTTTATAAAATCTTTTGTACACTATTTATACAAAAAGGTTTACAGGACTTGGACAACAGTAGTGTTTCTTCACTGTAGAAACACAAAGCCACAGAGCGTACTGATGGAGGATGGTTTGTGGGGTGAGTGACAATGTCCAGGCTCAGCTCCAGGTGTTTTCCTCAGAATAACTGTGTGGTTTACATTGACAACGGAAGTATTATTCACTTGATCTTGGGAGGGGTGTAGTGAATTCGGCACCTTTCGTTGAAAACCTGGGGGAAAACGATCATTAACAAATATTTCTAAATGAAAACCACTCGTATTCAATAGGATCAATAGGAGACACTCAATAACTCACCTTCAGACTCCGGTCATTGACCACTTCTTCAACATTTAACTCCGACTGCATGAGTTTTAACTGTAGGATAATTAAGAAAAATTATACAGAAATCAAACAAGATTTCAACCATTTGTAACCCAAGTACATACTGTATATACAGGCATTACCTTAGTTTGCTCTTTCCTGAGTTGCTTGATAACTGACAAGTTGTCGCTATCTTTTGCCCTCTCTTCACGTAACTGCCCAACGAAAGCAGAGCTCTCTGTAATACATGCTTTTATTGCCTTATCTCTGGAAAGATGAGCTTCCATGAGCTGAAAGGCATAGGCAGTAGAGAAAAAGGGCTTGTAATTAGTACATCACAGAGTATGACAGTACACTAAAACCAGTCATACGTCAAGAACAAAAATAGGGGGTCTCTAATAATAATTTTAGATTATTAAAGAGTACTCTTCACGGTGATACATACAGATTCATAAAGTTCTTTGCAGGTCTGTGTGGCGTCCACTTTGCCTGAAAAGGATGCAGTGGGCACAGTGGTATTGAGGGCATGGACAATTCTGTCATCTATGGTGCGCATCACTTTTAATACTTCCTACAGGACAAGAGGAGAGATGTACAGCTTATCAATGTAAATAGAACTTCAACTTTGAGTCACTATTTGTTCTTGTATTGTAAGTAATGCAATCATCGTTATGTTGTTCATATGCTTTTTAACCATTGCTGTGCTGAATATTCTTTACCTAATTTGCTGTAAAAATTGCTTTTAAATCTCTCATTATGTTGTATTACCACAAAATCGTGGATTTAATCTTTTTGTTAAGAAATACAAGGCCTGTGATAATTGAAGAACAAAAATAGGGGGTCTCTAATAATCATTTTAGATTATTAAAGAGTACTCTTCACGGTGATACATACAGATTCATAAAGTTCTTTGCAGGTCTGTGTGGCATCCACTTTGCCTGAAAAGGATGCAGTGGGCACAGTGGTATTGAGGGCATGGACAATTCTGTCATCTATGGTGCGCATCACTTTTAATACTTCCTACAGGACAAGAGGAGAGATGTACAGCTTATCAATGTAAATAGAACTTCAACTTTGAGTCACTATTTGTTCTTGTATTGTAAGTAATGCAATCATCGTTATGTTGTTCATATGCTTTTTAACCATTGCTGTGCTGAATATTCTTTACCTAATTTGCTGTAAAAATTGCTTTTAAATCTCTCATTATGTTGTATTACCACAAAATCGTGGATTTAATCTTTTTGTTAAGAAATACAAGGCCTGTGATAATTGAAAGAAAACAAGTTGATAAAAATATTCAAGCCAATATCCACAAGCATAACAGGAAATTTACAAGTAATTTTTGTAGGCTTGTCATTTCTAACCGGGAACATCGCTACGGTAATAAGGTGGAGAAAACAAATAAAAAAATAAAAATGTTCAAGGGTTTTTTTGGGGAAGTAGTTATACCCTGTGTGAGTGAAGTCAGCAAGTTTTAGTCCAATGAGATAAAATTAACTAGCATTTTCATGAAAACACATCAAGGGTGTTGATATTTGCCACCTACCAATTACTATTTTCGCTTAAGGTAAAAACCCTTGGTAACTATCACATATTACGTTTAAAAAGTGTACAGTATAACTACATATACATAGGTAGCTGACAACATTTCAAAGAGAGTACTGCAGTGTGACAACATCTATTTCAAACTACATTTTCTAATTCTTGTGTAATTACTATGCATGCAGCTTTATTAGTTTATATTAACTAAGGAACACTAGGAATACCTCAGAAATAATTAAATGAATTAGAAAACACTAAAAGATAATTTAAATCCATACATAATGATTTTTAAAAAACCGTCACAACACCTACATTATACACCTTTCGCTATACGTTCAAATAAACTTTTAACTGAAAATCCTGGTGCTGAAAAAAAATTCATGAATTCATTGTCAACAACCCACATATTACACAATATGTACTTAATGGCTTTAATAAAAAAATAATTTCTGTATTTTGTATTGTGTATAAATGATAGCTCATATAATGCATGCATTTATATTTATAAAGAACAGCACAGTTGCTTAATCGCTCATGTTTGTTCTGCTGCTCATTGAATCTCACTACTGCATGTAACAGTCCACGAGGGTCAGTCATTCATATTAACATCACAACCACGTGTTCCCAAAAAATTCAGTGTGCGTTTATAAATCCTGCATAATTTTATCCTGACCGCTGACAACACTTCGCACGTTTTACCTGAAACATTGAAAAGTCCTCACAGTTCAGAACTCCACCGGGCGCCGCCATAGTGGACTGAAGAGGTCCTGCGCGCTGAGGGTGTCCAAATACTGCCTGGATTACATTTGCTACAAAACTGTTGTACTTAACATTTATTAAACAACGTTACATGTAATTAGTGAGTATTACCGCATGCTTATACTATCGTGATCCAACTTAACAGAGACAGAATTATTTCTCACGATAAAAAGGATCAGGATAAACGTGGGCGTGTAAAATCCAACAGGTGATTTATGCGAAATGTTTTACAGGAATGCAAATATTATGTATTATGTATTTTATTTTATTTAACTTTTAGCTATACCATTTACAACTGCATGCGTGTTACGCTGACTTCACATACGGTAAGTATGTCCTTAACAGGCGGCTGCTCAGGGTCCTTCAGCAATGAACTCGAGCTGCTGACTTTATGTAGTTAGAGGAACTGAACCTGGCATTGTCAATTGGACACTATTTCATGGCTTAAAATTGTCTTTTTCTTTCATCATATTTTTCTTCAGAAGTCATGATCTTCAACATGATCAGAGGGCCTCGCGCTGCCTTTGGCACTTTAATAGGTCAGTATTTTCTGTATGATTTTTTTTTTGGACGCAGACAGGGAGCATATGATGAGCTTTGGCACTGGGCACAGTGGGCATTCTTCAAACACTTATCGGCATAAAACTAGCAGTGAAAACATGACTATAAATAAATTGTGATGTAGTTTCACTTTTCGAGACTGGCACGATTGGATTCATAAGATTGCTTAAAGTTGTTGCATGGATTTTTATTAATTTTAACAAAAATAAAATGTTCAAATGAATTAAATTTAAATAATTATTAAACAGCTGCTAAAATGATAAATCAAAAGTTTAAATGCAATGTCATTTCCTCTTTTGGGGAAAAAAAAAAACGTTTTAAACTTGCATCAGTGCAAATGTAACAGGAAACAACACAATTGCATTGTGTAAACGTCATCATACAGCCAAAATGTATCACTATGACAGAGACTTAAAGGGACAGTTCAGTTAAAAAAAAAGTTCCACAAAGGAATTAAAGTCAAACTATCTTAAAACAACATGAGGGTGAGTAAATGAATTTACAGAATTTTCACTTTAGGCTGAACTATCCCTTTAATTTCCTCCTATAGGGCAGGTGAGGAGAGGTGTGATGACCACAGGGAGCAGAAGACTGTGCAGCAAGCCTCAAGAGGTGGCATCCGCACCCCACCAGGGTCAGAACTCAAATATCCATTCACTTCTACCTACCTGCATTAGAAGGCGTGCTTATGACAGGACACAGCACCTGACATGATTCAGCACTTGTACATGCTGATTGAATTGAATCATTCCAGCACGTTTTGTTCCATAGAAGGTTTACAATTCAAAGAAGGAATTTAAAAGCAAGAAAAAACACACACGTAACATGCAACAGTGTAATTATGATGTAGAGCAAGATAAGTTCCTGTTTTGGTTGTTCTACAAGGATCGGATTGTACAAAAGGGAATTTAATTGTTTTCCCAATGGACTAACTTCTCTTCACCTTGTGCTTCCTCTCTCCTTGTTGCTTTTAGCACAACGGCTTGCGTTTAAAGTACCAGGCTACCGCCCATCAGAATGGGATAAAAAGATGCTGGTGTGGTCCAGGCGATTCAAAACCGCAGAACAGATTCCAGAGTTTGTGTCGTAAGTGGGCTATTCCTGTTTACATTGAGACAAACCCCCAGCTCCAGGCATACTTCTGAGCATATAGTTGGTGTATGAAGTCATGTGGCTAAAGTTCTGCCAGCATATTGGAGAAGGGTCTGGCTGCAGCTGGCGCTTGCACTCTCAGACGTGCATTCTCAGGCTTGCACTCTAAGACACTTGCATATATATTGAATTTATAAATGTGTATATATATATATATATATATGTATGTATGTGTGTGTGGTTGTACATACATATGTAGTTGTTTTTTTTGTGTTTGGATTAGTGTTATGTTAGAATCATTATTATACTCTTATACCTTTTGTTCTTTAATATTTTGAATTGTTTTTAGCTTTATTTTTTGTTTTTCTTTTAAATGTTAAGTTTTGAAATTTTGTTGTATGCATTTGTCATTTTTATTTAATCTCTTTATTTTTAAAATGTGTATAGGTAGTATTTATAAAGTTTTAGCTTGTAGTTTTGGATCTGTTTTTAGTTGTTTTAATACTACAATTGATTGCTTCTGATGTCCTCATTTGTAAGTCGCTTTGGATAAAAGCCTCTAATAAATGACTAAATAAATAAATAAAATAAATAATAATAAAGACTGCAAGTGACGTCGCTAGCGGAAGTGCAAGTGTCTGAGAGTGCAAGCCTGAGAATGCAAGCGCCAGCTGCAGCCAGACCCTTTTGGCATATTGGTGGAACACAAGAGGCGTCTGCTGTGAGGTTCAAACGAGATTTACTCGCAGTGTACTGACAGGTAATTAGTGTAATTCATGGTATCTGGAGGGAGATCAGAGTGGATTCTGTTTGTGATGTTGGATGCAAAACAGAACAGGCATGTCCTTTACAAAATGATTTTTTTATGAGGGATGGTTAAAAATACTGATTAATTTGAACGATTCAGATATTGGTTCTTAAAATTCTTAAAATCCCAAAGATTGTTTTTACTGTGCAGTTATTTTTAGTAGCTGTGTGAAAATATTTGTCACAGCAAAGGAAATCATATTTTATATTACATTTTTTGTAAGTTCTCAGTATTTATTGGATGTTGACATTAAAAAAAAAAAAACCTTGTACCTCGAAACGTTCAGAAGCATCTTAACGTTAAGAAGCATCTTTTCATCGAGTTGCAATATTTTCGCAAAAACAACGTACACAGCTGCACGCGACCAGTGACGCTTGATTCAAAAACAAATGACTCTTATGAACTGGTTCTTTTTAGTTAATCAAAAGCACACAGCGCTACCAGTGAAGCCCGATTCAAGCAGAAATGACTCTAATGAGCTTGTTCTTTTAACGATTAATTCAAAAAGATGATGTACCTGTTTGAATTACTATTAGCACTGAAATCGAATTAGAAAATATGGGTCGATACCCTGCCATATCTTCATGGATGTACTATTTTATGAAATAGTGTTTTCTATACTTATGAAAATACTGCGCTGTTTTCAGATTTGAGATGATTGATGCTGCCAGGAACAGAGTGCGTGTGAAGGCCTGCTATGTCATGATGGCACTGACCATCCTGGCGTGCCTCGTCATGGCGGTCTCTGGCAAACAGGTAATAAAAAGTGTGCTGCTGTATAAATGAAAAGCTGTCTTAATGTAATACATGGCTGTCATATCCTTTAACCAATACCTTCAATGACAGGTGGCGAGTCGGAATGAAAATCTGACCTCTCGTAACATGGAGAAGAAGGCTCGATGGAGAGAGGAGGCACAGAAAGAAAAGGAGGCGGCCACTGCACTTGCAGAGAAAGCCCAGTGAGATGCATCCATCAGAGCTCCCAAGGCCCATGTCTCAGTGTCACCTGGGATCATACAACAGCCAGTTATTTCATGTCAAACGCCACACACCATGGGAACTTCCTTCGCATAGTACACAGATTTTTATAGTATATAAAATAAAGATTTGAGATTTTTTTGTGATTTTGATCCTGTGATTTTTTTTGTATATATACATATGAAGAAAAATAAAATGGTGTTCCACTGATATTTTTTACTTACTATTATTTTTAGTGTTATTGTTAACTTCTTTGTTTTGTTGCTTATATTTAATGTTAAAACTATATGAGCTCTACATTGATTTTGTGATGCCTAATTTAAATTGTAGTATTCAATACTATTGATTCTGTTCTATTTTAATCTACTTATTTCAAAACAGTATTTATTTAGTCAAAATGGTATATAGAATTTTATCAGCCATAACAGGAAAATAATTACCGGCTTGGATAAAAGCATCTGCTAAATGCATAAATGTAAATGTTATCAATATCAGAATTTTAAATATTGACGCATTCCTACATTACAGGAATAGTTAATCCAAAAATTTTAATTTGCTTAAAATTGACTCTTTCTCTCTCAGGCCATCCAAGATGTAGATGAGTTTGTCTTCTTCAGAACAGATTTGGAGAAATTTAGTATTACATCACTTGGATCCTCTGCAGTGAATGGGTGCCGTCAGAATGAGAGTCCAAACAGCTGATAAAAACGTCACAATAATCCACAAGTAATTCACATGACTCCAGTCCATCAGATGACATCTTGGGAAGTGAACTCTGTTTGTAAGAAACAAATCCATCAAGATGTTTTTAAATTCCTAAGAGTTGTCTATTCATAATATTGCTTTTTCCGCTGAAAAGGTAGTCTCGTATGAATCAGGAGGGAAATATGCACAGATCACAGTTTCCAAGCAAAAACAGTCCATAACAGTTCAGTAGATTCTGATGTGAGAGGACAACAGGGATGGACTTTTTCAATGGAGATAGTTATTGTGGATTATGGACTTGTATTTTGGCCAGAAAAAAATGGTTTAAAGTTATAATAATGGGTTTATTTCTTAAAAACGTGCAGCTTTTCACTTCACACGATGTCAGCTGATGGAGAGAGTTGTGTGGATTATTATGATATTTTTATCAGTTGTTTGGACTCTCATTCTGGTGGCACCCATTCACTGCAGAGGACCCACTGGTGAGCAAGTGATGTAATGCTAAATTTCTCAAAATCTGTTCTGATGAACAAACTCATCTACATCTTGGATGACCTGAGGGTGATTATGTTTTCTGCAAATGTTCATTTTTGAGTTAATTATTTCTTTAAGGTTCTCCTAAAGCTGATGTTTATTGTCTGTGTTTGATTAAAATGACCAACCAGAAGTAAAATAGCATAGCTATTAGCACTAAATTGCATAGGAAAAATGATTACAATCTTAATGAGTGCATGTTCAAAAAGGTTGAGTAAACGCATAATGACTGGCCCTTTTGTGAATGAAGCAATGATGAATGAGTCTCTTACAGATCTCAAATTAAATCACTTGACCACCGAGCTTCATGAAACAGCATTTATGCAAATGGCATAAACAGAGAACAGTTACACAATCTCAATACGACAGCAGTATTGAACACAACGAGCTGGTCATATCTTGGGAAGAATCTGACATTGAAATAAGAAAACCTAAGTAAACAATCATATCTTGAGCTAATACCCAGTAAATCTTAAGATTACATTTGTTGATAAATTCCATTTGTTTGTCATTTTCCACCTCCTTTTTTTAAAATGAGGATTATGGCACCTTCGGTATTAAGAGGTTCTAACCCTCGCAAAAATACAATAAAATAAAACCGAACAACAAAACAGAACTGAACAACTTTCTGCTCTGTATTTTTCCGTATTCAGTTCTAGTCACTTGGAAAATATGGTGTGTCTGAATGTGTGCGCGCATTCAGCATGATTAGACATTAATATTTAAGTTTGTCTCACACACAGGTCAGGAAGCTAAAGCCTTTTCAGCTCAATTTTCAACAGCTTGTTAAAATATGTTGGAAGCTTTGAAAGGGTTGGAGTTTTTTTCAGCCAGGATGAGGCAGCTCTCTTAAATACTTAGTGTTTTCTTTAAGTACATCCCGTAATGCAGGTACACGCCATTCCTCTTCACCTCAATATCCTGAGAAGCTTTTCAGGGGCCTAAAACAGTCTACAGAGGTTCGAATCTAAACAAAGGGTGTCTGTTCTGAACGTAAAGTGCCAATGAAGATGATGCTCATGTGAAATTGTCTTCTTGAAGTATCAAATGGTCTAATGCACAGGATACAGGACCTGTCTTTTTGTCTGTCCAGCAGTCTCAGTGAGCGGGAAGACTCCAACTCCCAGAATTCCAAAGGTGCAAATGTGTAACCCTAAAAGGAGAGGCGGAGCCTATACAGTTCAGTCACTGTCGGAATGCATGTTCAACGCAAGTCAAAGTAAGGGACCGTCTGACTGGCATTATCAGTCGGAAAGCCCGGACCCCTCAGTGCGTCTTTGGGTTGTCTGGGTCAAATGAGAAGGTAAAAGTGCCTTGCATTTAGCAGACCTCCGTTTTGAGTTTTTCGGCGCACATTGGCTGCGACTTTTTTTGGGTGGGGGGATTTTAGAGACATGCAAACACAGTCACACGATCAGTCCAGTGTTTTACAACAGATGGAGAGCAGATCCCTTGTCAGAGTCAATATTGCAGTCACGTCACACGAGCTGTGCTTTCCCAGCCTCTATTAAGTCATCGCTGGATGCAGTTTTCCTGAATCGGGCTGAGGGACTGATGGGATATGTGTGCTTTGAAGGGCTGAATGACAGTTTAATGAAGGAAGTGGGATATTTAAGTCATGTGAAAAGATCTACTTGTCACGTTTTCTGCATCAGGAGAGGAAGTCGCTATCATTCTGGAGCCATCGTTCTGGACCGGGCCAGGGAAGTAGGACAAGAGGGGGGAAATGGGTTGACCAGCAACACACGCTCTTGTATATCACACCTTAATTAAAATGTCAATTTTTTAAAACCTTCTGCTGCTGCTGGATGTCAACGGCAGGTGCCAGGGCCGGATCTTCATCCTCTGTGCTGAAGTAGCGCTCGATCAGGTCAAAAGCCTTCTGGTAGATCTCCTGGTTCTCATGGCCCTGTAGAAACTCCAGTTTGTCTAATCCTGGTGGAAAGCAACAGAAAAGTTTTTTTTTCTCTATATTTTATGTTGCCATATTCATTAATTTTGGTCAGTTTTACTTACAACTTTTTTTAGTTGTTGAGGGTAACATTTTAGTCGACAAGGAAGTTCAAAATTTAATCAAGCATTTTATTTATTAATATGAACATGAAAATTAAAAACAAACATGTTATCTCCTTGTGAAAATCTGATCTCCTGAAATTAATGACATTGGCTTAACATTAGAAGGATTTAGGCCCAATCCCAATTCTACCCCTTAGCCCTTCCACTTTCCCCTACCCCTCCGTTTTGCGTGTTCACGTGAAGGGGTAGGGGTGTCTTGATTCTCTTTTGGTCGGAGGGGTAGGGGTAGGGGAAGGGACAGACAGCCCTTCAAACGAAGATTTTTCGGGACCACACTTCAAACAAAGGGGAATGAATTATCTCAGCGTAAACCGGCTTCAGGGGCAACATGGCTGCCCGAGCGAACAAAAATACACATAAATGTAAGCATTTTTGGCATTAATAAAGATTTGAACGAAAAGTAATCATTTGTTTTATGTTACATTTAATCGTGAGTTCATATTTACAGTCATGTTACTCAAAGAAATGTTTGCAAATAATCGCTAAAGTTTGCTAACGTCATATCATTATAGACTGCACGATAGTGCCACAACATATTTTCAGAATCAGAATCAGAATGAGGTTTATTGCCAGGTATGTTTTCACATACGAGGAATTTGTTTTCATGACAGAAGCTTCCGCAGTGCAACAGAATGACAGCGACAGAACAAAAAACACAGATAATAAAAGAAGAATAAAAATAAATAAAAAATAGAACAAGTAAATAAGGAATAACAATATATAAATTGACAATTGTATGTGCAGGTATATTACAATAGACTGTTTTGTATGTACAGGTATATTATGTGTAATAAATATATATATTTCATGTCTGATCAAAGTGATAACCACCATAGACATTGAGGAGGGCTAGTACCCCCAATAATTATAAATCGCTAAACCCTTTTCTCAGATATTGCCAATTTGAGAGAGAGCGAGAGAGAGCTAAAAGTTGCATGTATGCGCGTCTGTGCGTTTCTCTTTTTAGAGTCAGTTTACTTCAAAAACAGCAGCTAAGGACAAATAAAGACAGAAAACCATTTTTTTTTTAACCCCATTCAATATGACATTACAACAACAACAACAACAATTAAATAAGTTACTAATTAAGTTATAAATGTTATTCAAAATATTATTATTATTTAAATTATAAAAATCAAACAGATAAAGAAATATATTATAATTGCAATAATACCACAGTACTGTAAAAAAAAAAATAGTTATATATATATATATATATTATTATTATTAATTGTATTTTTTATTTTACAGAAAAACAGTAGAATTAGAATACTAATATTCATGTCTGTCTAAATTCCTTTGCTTTCAAATATTAAAACAAAGCTTTTTTGGCAGAAGATTGCAGGAAGACCTTATAGCCAGTTTCTTTTTTTTTTTTACTGCATGTACTCTGTACTGTAAGCTCAGAGTTTATTTCTTTTTTTGCACTAATTTGTTTGTCCACTAGGTGGTATCACTGGCCCAAGTTGTTGTTTCAGTCAAAAAACCCCGGATAAGACACAACTAAAACAGAAGGCCTGCATAGACCAGTGCTTTTTTTGATGACTTTTGGCAAACTAGCATAGATACTGGTCAAGAATAAAACCTTCTAGCGCTCATGTGTTTGTGCACGCTATCAAATGTACACTATAAAAAACGCTAGCTTTTGTGTCAGAAGCTTTAAGCCCAAATTGTACTTCAGTTTTCTTTTGTTGAAAACAGATTCATAGATGATTCTCGTTGCATTCTTTCAGAGATGGTGTTTGTTTGGAGCAGCATTTACTGTGAACCAAGCCGCTCAGAGACTATTTGTTTTCCATGAATTTACGCAATTGGGCGGGTCATACTTATAAGGTCAGAAAATATGGAAATCTGTATAAATATGGAAAAATCACATCCCTGGAATTAGCCAAGTGTGATGGCTTAACATACCATATGCCTCCTCAATGAGGGCGCAGTAGGGGTTGATTCCTCCTCCTCGTTTAGCTTCCAGCTCACCCAGTCTTAGGATGTTCTCCAAGCCATTCAGTGCCACCTGTACGATCTTTGAATCCATCAGCGTCAGGAGGTCACATAAGGGCTTGATGCAACCAAGCTCAACAAGATGCCTGAGGAGAAGATTAAAGCATTGAAATATAAAGTCGTCTTGGTTGCTGAGGCAGGAAGTGATCTGATCACAAATTGTCACAGGAGAGGCATGTTAAAGCAGTGATTTGTCTCACCTGATCTGCTCAGAAGAACCGCCAGATGTGGCATTTGTGATGGCCCACGCCGCCTCCTTTCTTGTACGGAATTCGGCTACTTGCAGAATATTTATCAACGGGGGCAACAAGTCTGCATCCATCACCATCTACAAAGATCAAAACAAAGATTGTGAGATTAAAAAAAACAGACACTCGGGGCATTTTCAGACCTGCAGATTATTTGATTTGTTCTGAAACAAGGACTTAAAATGTTACAATGTTGCATTTTCTTCTTGGTTCAGTTCGCTTTCACACGGCAACATTTCAAAGTGTACCAAAAATGTCTTTATGCAAGTTTGGTTGCATTGCTTTCTCACCACAAGCAAACCGCTCCAGAATTAATTTTTAATCAGGCAGTGACCACCTTGTTCAGGTGATCTCAGACCCATTGTTTTCATTCGGATCTGAGCTTGATTGCCATGTTTATATTATATTATTTATTATTATATGCCAAAATTAACCAAACGGAGGAAGAAAACATGCCAGGTTCCAAAACAAATGCTCCAAATGAGCCAGGTGTGAAAACGCAAACTGTGTAAACATGCATGTACCTGTATTTGTGCACGGTTCCCGGCTGTGATATTAGAGATGGTCCAACATGCCTCTTTTTTAATGGACTCTTTCGGGCTACTCAGCAGGTGAAGAAGACTTTGCAGGGCAGAGCAGTTAAGAATCACCTGTTCATGAGAAAACAAATGATGTTACGCCCAAAATATGTAATAGCTACAACATTACTGCAGAGGAGGAAAGAAAATAGTTGTTTCACCTGAGTCTGTAGGTCATCTCCTGTGACTATGTTCCCCACGGCTCTTAGAGCAGGAGACACCACCTTATATTCTGCATGTCTGGAACACATGGAAACATCACCTCAGAAAACTGCTCTTACTCTAAGGATTTTAAGTAGTGCCCATAAAAATACAAAGGAGAGAAGCCATCTTAAAAGCCTAAGCCAGTGGTTCTCAACCTGGAGAGGCTTGGGCCCACTAGGGGGTCTCAGCAAACCTCCAGGAGGGTCTCAAAATGGTTTAAATCTCATTAAAATAAAACAAAACATCATTAAAATCAGCTAAAACAACTAAAAAACAAGGTATTTCTTATTTTAATGTAACTAATTGTTTCCTTTATGGAACCAGGGTTTTTACATTCTTGGAAAACATGGATATATGAAGTAGCCTAATTTTAAAAAGTATGATTTCTAGACTTGAAAGGTCATATAAATGTATGAAATCTTAAAACTCAGTCGATAATCGAATATATATTTTTATAGTTATGCCAAGCTCTAAAAAATTTTTGGTATCCAGCAAATCACAAACAACTGGAAGAGTCATGGGGGCTTCAAATTTTGTCATCAATAATTGGGGCCTCAGAGTCATAATAGTTGAGAAGCACTGGCTTAAGCTATTCATTATTCTTTCCATCTGTTTTTCATGTCTTACAGCAGCAGCTCCACTAGTCTGCGGCAGACTCCTGAGTCAATAACAGCCTGGATCTTCTCATTGGGACCATCAGACAGATAAGAAAGAGCCCAGCATGCATCAGCCAAAATGTCGGTATCGTTCACAAAGAGCAGCCAGGACAGAACGCTGAGACACGGCGACACCTGCATTAAAAGACAAATACAACTTGAATCTCACTTTTAAGTTTAAAGGTGTGTATACTCTTGTGACTTAATTAGGTTTAATTAAATTACTTCATTATCAAGTTCATGTTGATTTATGTTGGTTTAATAAAAAATGTGAATTAATCCATGTCATTGTAGTATAAACAAAAATGAATTCACATTTTCATTAAATTATAAATCAACATTAACTTAAGTAATTAAGCATAATTATTAATACATGTTCTAGCTTGAGCAAACATGACCATGATGATGTGTACATGCTACCCACGGCAATACCATTGAGGTTTGTGGCTTGTGAACTGAAGTATGACTGTGGCTGTTTATGTGCTTGCTTGTCATTTAGCAGGCACTTTTCATCTATCATGCTCTCCTCATTTACATACACTAATTCAGCAGATTCTTTTATTCAAAGTGACATAAGTGTGTTTTGTACAATAACAGCTAATAGTCATAAGGATTCAGCCACTCTAACTGTAAAGATAGGCCTCTGGCTGCTAATAATTGATGTGCTTTAGTCAAGTGTCCCATGCTACAATAGTGAAACTGTTGTTTGTGGGTTGCCCCTTCCTGCAAAGTTTAGATTTCCCAACTAGAGCCTCAACCGCTGTCACTACACAAATACACAGGAAGAAGTCTCTTGTGTTCACCACGGCTGCATTTATTTGATTAAAAAAAAAAGTTAAAACATTATATATTGTGAAATATTTGTATAATTTAAAATGTTTTCCATTGTAATATATTTTTATATGTAATCTTGGTGTTCAAAAAACATTCCTTATTATTATCAATGTTGAAAACAGTTGTGCTGCTTAATATATTTGTGGAAATTACCGTTAGAGTGGCTGAATCCTTATGACTATTAGCTGTTATTGTACAAAACACACTTATGTCACTTTGAATAAAAGAATCTGCTGAATAAAATTATTAATTAAAAAGAATTCTTAATGACTTTAAACTTTTGAACAGTAGGTTATAAGGCATTATCATTATCGTTTTTTTATTTTTTTGCATTATTATGTCATGTTGCAAGTCCGATATCAATTACACATTTTTCAGGATTCTTTGATGAATATAACATTCATTATAAATGTCTATGTTTATATTTAACACACCCTTGCTGAATAAAAGTATTAATTAAAAAGAATTCTTAATGACTTTAAACTTTTGAACAGTAGGTTATAAGGCATTATTATCGTTTTTTTTTTCTGTTTTTCATGTCTTACAGCAGCAGCTCCACTAGTCTGCGGCAGACTCCTGAGTCAATAACAGCCTGGATCTTCTCATTGGGACCATCAGACAGATAAGAAAGAGCCCAGCATGCATCAGCCAAAATGTCGGTATCGTTCACAAAGAGCAGCCAGGACAGAACGCTGAGACACGGCGACACCTGCATTAAAAGACAAATACAACTTGAATCTCACTTTTAAGTTTAAAGGTGTGTATACTCTTGTGACTTAATTAGGTTTAATTAAATTACTTCATTATCAAGTTCATGTTGATTTATGTTGGTTTAATAAAAAATGTGAATTAATCCATGTCATTGTAGTATAAACAAAAATGAATTCACATTTTCATTAAATTATAAATCAACATTAACTTAAGTAATTAAGCATAATTATTAATACATGTTCTAGCTTGAGCAAACATGACCATGATGATGTGTACATGCTACCCACGGCAATACCATTGAGGTTTGTGGCTTGTGAACTGAAGTATGACTGTGGCTGTTTATGTGCTTGCTTGTCATTTAGCAGGCACTTTTCCTCTATCATGCTCTCCTCATTTACATACACTAATTCAGCAGATTCTTTTATTCAAAGTGACATAAGTGTGTTTTGTACAATAACAGCTAATAGTCATAAGGATTCAGCCACTCTAACTGTAAAGATAGGCCTCTGGCTGCTAATAATTGATGTGCTTTAGTCAAGTGTCCCATGCTACAATAGTGAAACTGTTGTTTGTGGGTTGCCCCTTCCTGCAAAGTTTAGATTTCCCAACTAGAGCCTCAACCGCTGTCACTACACAAATACACAGGAAGAAGTCTCTTGTGTTCACCACGGCTGCATTTATTTGATTAAAAAAAAAAGTTAAAACATTATATATTGTGAAATATTTGTATAATTTAAAATGTTTTCCATTGTAATATATTTTTATATGTAATCTTGGTGTTCAAAAAACATTCCTTATTATTATCAATGTTGAAAACAGTTGTGCTGCTTAATATATTTGTGGAAATTACCGTTAGAGTGGCTGAATCCTTATGACTATTAGCTGTTATTGTACAAAACACACTTATGTCACTTTGAATAAAAGAATCTGCTGAATAAAATTATTAATTAAAAAGAATTCTTAATGACTTTAAACTTTTGAACAGTAGGTTATAAGGCATTATCATTATCGTTTTTTTATTTTTTTGCATTATTATGTCATGTTGCAAGTCCGATATCAATTACACATTTTTCAGGATTCTTTGATGAATATAACATTCATTATAAATGTCTATGTTTATATTTAACACACCCTTGCTGAATAAAAGTATTAATTAAAAAGAATTCTTAATGACTTTAAACTTTTGAACAGTAGGTTATAAGGCATTATCATTATCGTTTTTTTATTTTTTTGCATTATTATGTCATGTTGCAAGTCCGATATCAATAAGAAGATAAAATCTAAATTCTAAGGTCTAAGATATTAAAATTCTCAACTACTTTGTATAAAAAAAATTAAAAACTAAGGTCAATCTCTTTGAATTGCTACAAGAGAATCTGAGCATCACAACATTATAATGTACAACATGAAAAATGGATATTCATTAAACATTATATTCAACAGCGTACATTAATAGTGTTTAAAATTAGCGTTAGATGATGGTAAGGGTAATCTAAATGTAAAAAAGGGGGGAAATTAGTTATAATTAAATACCTAATAGTTATGGTAATATATTTCAAAATATATATAAAGTAATTTTTAAAAACAGGCTTTAACGGATATTGTACAGATATAGTGTGCATCCCTACTCTTCCATTTCTGTATAGGTACTTTGGAACTATGTGTATTGTAAAAACCACTAAACAAAAATTTGTACTGAACTGCAAGGAAACAGGAGGTGACTTTTACCTTGGCAAAATCTGGGGGTGGGTTTTTCCCTCTGCACAGGTTAGACAGAGCCCAAACTGCGTTCCTCATCATAGTCAGACGATTTTGTTTAGCCAATAACCTGGCATGAGAATCTGTATCATTAGAACTATTCAACAGTAAGGTTGTTCTAAAACAAATGCTTGCATGACTTACTGTACTAGAGAGGGTAGAATATTGCAGTCCAGAACAAAGTCCCTGCACTCGGTGCTGTCACCTGCAATATTGCCTAAAGCCCACACCGCCTGCAGTGGAAAAAGACAGTTTCAATCACAAAGTTAGTCCTATTTTTTTTTTTTATACCTAACTGGGTCCATTTGTGCCCCTTCAGCGAGATGTTTACCTGTTCCTGTACATCCTCGAAATCCGAGCTGAGCATCTCAATGAAAATGGGTACCGCCCCAGCCTGGATGACCACCCGCGTCTGGTGGGATGTTCCTGAGGCGATGTTAGTCAGAACCCACGCTGCTTCAAACTGCACAGAAACAGGACATCTGTCACCATACTGCAGAAAAGCATTCACTAGTGCACCATTCCAGAGCCAAGGGGATAAAGATAGCGAGGAGACTTGCAGAACATACACATTCAAATAGTGTGAGCATGTGCTGGGAGAGATTCGTGCCAGATGACTCACTGTCTGGCTGCTGTGACTTAGGGGCTACGTCTGCAGGCTGTTCCTCTGCTTCTAGGCTGTATAGTTCGTTTTGATATCACTTAGATACAGCTTACTAGGCTCACCTGTAGCGTGCAGTTCTCTCTTCTTTTCAGGAACTCAACAAATCGCTCCATGACACCAGGGGTGGCAATGACCTCATCAATAGGGGGATTAGGCTCTAATGGAGGGTTAAAGATGGAATTAGCATCCTTTTATCATAAATATGATTATGCAAATGCCTGAATTTCAGTCTTCGGGGTCTTTCACCTTTAGATAAGAGCTTTCTGAAGCGCTGTGTTCCGATGAGCTGTTGTTCTGGGGAGCTGGAGAAGATCATCTGTATCATGTCCTCAGAAATAACACTTCCCTGTAATGATGGAAAGACAGAAAAGGTAATAATCTATTTTTTCATCAATAAGTAAAAGACTGTGATTAACTATTGTTTTATCTCTCTCACTGTGATTTGGTCCATATTGTTGGCCTGTGATTCCAGGTATCCACCGTCCAACATCCCATCATCCTCCAGTGTTCCATCCTCCTCCGCTGTGGCCACATTTCTGCGCTTGAACAGCTGTAAGAACACATAAACTGTGCTCAATAAAAATACCAACATGTGCCACATAACAGTCCTAATGCTGCATTTCTTTCCGTGGAAGGAGCAAGCGAGTCATTTATTTATTACTGTTAAAATATTTTCTCCTGTAGAATCAGCTAGAAGTAAGGTATTTGCAGGCTGACTATTTCAAATGCTGTAAATATTGTGCAGCTTTTAATAAGGCATTATTCTGTATTTGTTTGAGCATTTTGGACAGTCTGAAAAGGGATGTAACGATTAACCGCGAGCCGGTTGAAAATCGATTCAAATATGTGACTATTCAAATTGGTTGAGATGCTAAACAAATCACGATTAATTTGCATGTCTGAGGGGAACTTACTGTCTTTAGAAAAGTTTAGATGGTATTTTTTCTTTTCATCTTGCCTCTGTATAATGCATATTAAAGTTCATAAGTGCAGTGCTGCTTTGTTTACAGCGGAAACCAAGGAAACTCTTTAAGAGCCACCTGCTGGCAGAGAGTGAATCTGCGTCTCATTCAGCTCGTCTGCGGTTTCGGTTTCATGCAGATATTTTTATGTATAGTTTCACAAAACTGAAGTCAAACCATTCTGTTTTTGCTTCAAATTTTGAAATTATACAGTCTAATTTAGATTAAAAACTGCTCATGTTGCATGTATGCAGCATCTTTGTTTGGATCATGATTAAAATGCAGTGGTTGCC